CAGATTTTTGATTTGATATGTCGTGTAAAAGTGAACCACTTGTTGCGCGAATTTTTGGTCAAACAAATGAGGTAGAGGTATTCACTTGAGAAAAACTGGGTAAAATGATTGGATATGAATACTCTAAAAAAAAGTACGATATTTTGTTTAAAAAAAGTTAAGCAAATCATGGTTTAGTAATTTTTTTTCTCAATTTTTGCGACTTTGTATCGGATAAAATTTTTGTCGGTTGCTTTTGTAAAATTTCGACTGAAGTTTTGAAAGACATTGTAAAATGTCGATAGTAACCATGTTTTATCAGCTGTGATGTTTCAGGTGAGCAGGGAATTCATGTTTGGCACACGCAGACTACTCGGGTAACAAAAACAAAGAAAATCCGTGAAGAGTATTATAATGGTACATCTGACCAACTGTATCGGAAGAGTATTACAAAAGGTGTCAACAAACCTCTAAGCAATTTGCAGCAGCTTCCTAAAACAATCTAGCCGAGATTAGGAAATAGTTCAGTAAAAACTGATTTGAAAACACAGAATTCCACAAAAACGAATGGAACAGTTTTCAGGAAACTGTGAACTTATTTTAATTTCCTTATCGTTCAGGGGTTACAATGGCAATTACTTTGATTGATATTTGCTAATTTGAATACATTATTTGTTTATGTAGAAAATAACAAAGATAAATATTTTTAAATTGGTTAAATTTAAGTTTTGAGCAGATATTTTGTAGTTTAGCCCTCAGGTCAACTAGGAGCATATCAAACTGGGAGGCTGGTTTTAAAAAAAGTTTTGTTGCCGTTTTTCCGAGCCCGAAAGGGTAAAAACCGGAACTTGGTAAAAACGCTCTGATCAATAAAAACTCAATTTATCATCTGATATTTAGAGCCGAAGTTCTCAAATACCGTTCTCAACTTAATAGATGAAGTGTTTTTGACTTTACATAAAAAATTTTCTTTTTGTTTAAAAAACGGGATTGAATTTCATTGTAAATATTTATAAATTTGTGATCTATTATGTTCGTTATAATAACTTTGGTAAGGCTCATTTATCAAGTCAGGTTATAACCTGCATTATTTTCAGATAAATAGTTTTATCAAGTTCTGAAAATTCTATAATATGTTTTAACATGATTTGCTAGTTGAACGAAGCGTACCCATAAAAAACAAATTAATTGTAAAAGTTTTATTCATTTTCGCGACTGCGTTCCTTCTTCACTTTGGTCTCCAATACCAATATATACACACTAAACATTTAATTTTTAAAGTATACGTTTTGCCTTTAATTCTGGGAGAAAATTTGTCCAGAAAAAATTAAATCAACATTTGTTATTTTACCAATTAATAGCAGTTTTGAGTGGATAGGTGCCATGAATATTGCAGATAAATCCAAGAAGAAGAATTTTCCTGTGATGGTGCTTTGTGCCGCGCTGCTGGTTATCATGTTTTGTTACCAATCGGTTTTTCTAGTTTTGGCTTTCAAAAAAGAATGTCCCAACTCAGAAGGAGAAAAAGTCAGCGCTATCTTCTCTACCAGGTAAGAAACCCAAAAACTTGAGCAAAAAGTCTTGTGGGTTGTGCCCGTTTTTTTCACAGTTTTACAATTTTAAATATAAGCTGCGTGTTTTTTTTGGTTGGGGTACTAAAGCGCTTTTTGAGAAATCGACAATTGGCTTAAACGAATTGGAGAACAAAACCAAAAATAAAACTAAATCAATTCTTTAAAATTGAAACAAAATTGGTCAAATTTTTAACAAAAGTCAAAGTTTAAGGAGAACGAAAACTGCAGCTTTAGTAATAATCTTTATTACAAAGTACCTGCAAAAGCCCATTTACTCTCTGTGAACACAAATGAGTTAGGACTGGAGTGTATAACTCATAGAGTAATTTCGGATAGGGTACACCGTCTGCTCGTCACGCTATCTTATTTTCGGCCGGATAGATTCGTGCAACTTCTTAGTCTAATACCGATCCTAATCTTACTCTTATACTATCTAGTCTCAGGTTGTTTAACTAGTCTCTGCTAGGCTCAATAGATCTAGGGTATACTGGTTTATTGCGGCTGCTGAAGTGCTCGGGAGAGTCCAACTAATTTCTAAGTTAAATTCAAATCTCTCTGGTGCTGAAATTACAAGTAACTTCAGCACTTACAAATAAGTGGGTTGTTAGTTAGATGGATCATGATTGGTTAATATTAAATACTTTACATTGGTAAAACATTTAATTTATCCAATCATAAAATATAGTTTAGATCAGGTTCCACCCATCCGGGTTTTACAGAGTTTTTTAGAACAGTTCTTCTGTAATTCAAGGGTGGATGATGGACGTTGGTATTTGGCGAACATCATAATTTTCTTCCCCTTCTTCTTGTGACAACGACTGAGTCTCTGCAACAAAATCAATTCTGATTTCAGAATGGTTGGCTATGTCAGGTTTTTCTGTTCTTCGGGGAGAACTTCCTTTGTGTCTGATCTAGCTTGGGAATGGCGTGGAGATTGTGCGTGGAGGGGATGCCTGGTTACTCGGATCTGTACGTATACTTGAACATCGAGGTGGTCATTGGTCTAGTTCAATGAAGTCCTTTTCTGCGAAGTCAAGTCGTACTCTAAATCCTTTGAGTTGTGATTGTGAGCGGCATATCGATTGTAGTTGGTCATTCTCTCTCGAGTGTAGTGAGGTCGTCTTGTCTTTTGATGTTCGTCCTTGGTGTTGTATTCTGATCTATATATTGCATCATGTGATTTTACATTTTATAAAACTTTTATTAGTTTAATATTTTTTAATAATGATTTTAGTTAGTTGTTTTCACAAAAGCTTTTTGTTTTAGTTCGGTTATTTTGAAGAGTTACTCACCCTTGAGTAGCTCTTATTAAAAATAAAGGTGTGGTCACAAAGCGTGGATGTAGCGCGGTGGGTTAGGCCGGCTATAGAGCATGCTCAGGACGTCCTTCCTGGTGGGTTAGGCCAGGAGTGGGAGTATGATTTCATGCGGTTTTTGTGAGGGGTCCTGTTATGTGACAACGTTTTATGTTGGGTTTGTTGTGGTTTTTCTTATGTTTTGTTGGTTGTGTCCTTTTTTCAAAAATCAAATTGTTTGTGGTATGAGTTTGTCTTTCGACTTTTTTGTGTTTTATTATTTCTTTCTAAGACTTTGTAATAGTCTTCAAAAGAATAAATTATCCAGTTTTAAACTGGGTTAATCCGGTTTGGGTACCGTTGGTTTCCTTTTCTTAGTCATGCTGTTATTCTATGATTTGTGGTATTTAGTAAGCTGCGTTGGTTAGTTTTGTTTAGTATATGATTCCTTTCCAACCGGGTTAAAGGAAAGTTTGAAACATGTTATTGTATGTTAGAGTTGTTGAGTGTGAAAACTTGAAACTGAAATTCATTATTTTAAACAATTCTTCGTGGGCGAGCTGTGCGAGTGTGGATAGAATTTCTATGTGAATGAATGAAAATATCAAAAGGTTAGTACTGCAATTGCATTTTATTAATTTACTGCATAGAATTTGGAAATTTACTGCTAGTTATGGGGGAATTTTAAGATACAAATTTTCATCATAATTAGATTTACTGCTTTGGGGGAAAATTTTATAAATTAATTTACTGCATTGGTATTATATTTATTTAATTGTTGGTGCAAAAGTTTAATAGGGTCTTAAACAGTTTTGAAGAAGTTTGCTATTTTTTATTTTTCTTTTGTGAATTTTTCAGATGATCGAGGATGAAGGCTAAAAATCTAAAGAAAACATGAATAAAGAATGGTGAGTTTTTTCAATATTTTAATTAGTTAGTAATATTTACTTAATTCATACTTACCTGTTAGTCGTCGGGGAAAAAACCGTGGGGGAAGATGTCGTGAATTAGTTCTGAAGTCGTTAGTAGTTTAGCTAAGATGCGGATGATATTTTTAGTTTGAAGCAGTGGCCAAAGCAATTGAAGTGCCTTAATAGTGGTTAGTTCTTCAGTGCCTACTGCAAACTCATAAGGTGTGTTTTGGATTAAGTTATATAATTTGTGGTTAAAATTAGTGTTGTGGATGAATTCTAAAATTGGGATTTCTATAGGTTGTAGGAACTCGTGCGGGATAAGGAAGGGTCGGGATTCTTCGGCGTTGAAGGTCTTGGTGATGGGGCAGAAAATGTACATTTGGGTTATGGGGTCATAATTACGAAGAATACCATGGAGGTTAGTGTCTTTAATACAATATGTGAAATTTAGGAAATACGGTGAAGTGTATTTTGAATTGATGAATTGGAAACGATGGTGTGGTTGTCGAGAGGGTGTGTGGAGGTCAAAGTGATTTTGGATGAAACGATAGTAACTGTATGTATGTGTTTGTTTAGTGCGCAACATAATATCGTGTAAGCAGTGTAAATCTCTTTCGTGTGGTGCAAGGAAATGAAAGGTTAGTGAAAAGATTTGGAAGCGTTCTTTAAAACTTTCGTATGCTTGTGTGTTTGTTAGTGCTTCTGAAATAATGTGATCAAACTTTCGGTCGAAGATGTTTAGTGTAAATACATATGGTGTCTTGATGAAAAATTTCTCGGTGATTTGTGGATTAGCGAAGCGATCGTCGTCTAGGAATTGATCTTGGTTAGCTCTAATGATGTTGTGATCGTAGTATTCTAGTGTATATTCATTAGCTCTAGGTGCAGTGTGTATTTTTAGTGATTTTTTATATCCAACGTAAGTAAACTGTCTAGCGGTTAGTGGTGTAGTGAGTTGATATAGCATGTCCTTATTTCGCTCTATATCGATGTGAGTGTTAGATAAAGGTAAGCAAAGAGGGTTAGTAAAATGATAATATGAGGTCCAAGAGAGAGTGGGCATTAAAACGTATTCATCTACAAAGTTGCGTGTTTCGTTAGCGTCGTGAGGGGTGTTTAAGGTGTATTGTGGAAATGAGGGTAAAGTGATAGCTAAAAATTCTTTAGTGTTAGTATGCTGGGGGTGGTTGATGTATTCACGGGCTGTTCCTGGTTTTGCTGGGAAAGGATGGTTGGGGAATTTTCTTTTAAAAGTGCGGTAAGCTCTATTAGTGTTTAGTGAAGATATAGTGGATGTGGATGATGGTGTTAATGATTCAGTATAATTTGAAGAGGGTGTAGGGGGATTGGATGAATTTGTAGTGGAGGAGATTTGGTTTATGGTCGGGGTGTTAAGGTGGTAGGGTTGTTGTTGGAGGGTAATAAAATTATCTAGTTCTGGGGAGATTCGGGGGGTGTCTGGAGAATGAGATGATTGGTCAGAATGGTATGAGGAGTAGGTTGGGGTAACTTGGGAAGCATAAGAGGGTGTGGGAGTGATTGGGTCAGGGTTATTGGATAATATGGGTTGAAAAGGGGGTTGAGAAAAATTAGAAGGGTTATGAAAATTATTGGATGGAGATGGTTCTGAGTCGGCGAATTCATCGGGGGTTTCAATATTCGGGTTATTTAGCTGTGAAATGGAGTATAAAACTGAAATATGTGAGTTAGTGTCGGAATTCATGCCTGATGTTACATTGCTAGATGGAAAATCGGGTGGCGGAAAAGCAAAAAGTGGTATTATTGGGATTGGAGAGGCAAGATTGGTTGGGTGGGAATTTGATCGGTGTAGTGATCCAAGTTGGCGGCTCATCGTGGGCTAAAAAAATTATTATTTTGAGATTGAAAAGCGGTGGTATGGGGCTGTTCAATAATTTGTTCATAAGTATTATCATCTTGTGATTGATGTGTCATTATATGTTGGACGGGACTTTGCGATGTATTGAGTCGAAAATTTGGATTATGTGTGATTGCTAAATTTCGAAAATTTCGTGGGACTAGGGATAGTGGATGGTTATTTGGTAGGGGTGGTAATTGTGGTGCCGTTGGCTGTGTGTCGACATTGTTATGTTCTTCGTCGTATGTATTCTGTCGTGTTGTTATTTTTGTGTTATATTCTTTTATTTGTGCGTCTAAAAGAATTTTGTTTATAGATGTGGAAAAAATTCCAAAAAATCCTGCAAAGAGTATGCGTGCTACGCTTGCTTGTCTGTTTACTTGTGTGTGTATAGCACATGTATTGTAGATTCCTTTTAAGAGTGAGAAAAGAAATCCAATAAAGTTAAACATTGCGTATAAAATAGTCAATTTTTCTAAGATGTAGTAGGGCCATCCTAGAAAATCAAGGATTTCATTCTTGAGTGTAACAAAGCTAAAAATGTTGATTGGTGATATATCTTGGGGACGGTATTTTTCGCCGTTTAGATATATATAATCTTTAATGTCTTTAAAATATCCGCTATAGTCTTGCGTGTAGATATCGGCAAATCCTGCGGTTTCTGCAAGTTTGCGTAAGTTTTGGTCTATTGATTGTCTTTGTATAGTGTCCATTTGTGTTAATAATTCTTGGAATTGTTGTGTTCTAATGTGATGTTGAATATCTGATTTTGAATAGATTCCTATTGATTGTAAGTCTATATTTGGGTTTCGAGCAATAGCGCGAATGCTTTCTGGTGAAAATTTTTTGAGTGATTGCATTAATGTGGGATATGGAGTGAGAAGATAATAT